GTGGGAGGCTACATTATATACAACGCTATAGGCTGTTAAAAGACTTGCTGCCTTTTACATTGGAAGGTCATGAAGGAAAAGGGAGATCTGATTTGACACATGCATTTGGAAAGGCTTATTCTGGTTGTTGTGGAGAAAGAGTAGATTCTGGAAGAAGAATGTTGGAGCTTATCTGCAATCATCTAAGCAAGAGATGTTGGTGGCTCAGAACAGAGTGATGGCAGAGAAAGTGGTGAGAAACAGTCATGGTCTGGACAGAATTTGAAAGTAAAGCTAACAGGGCTTCCTGAAGTTTTAGATATGGATTGGAAAGAAACACGAATTACTCTTAGGTTTTTAAGCCTGAATGAATTGAAAAAATGGATATACTATCATTTGGGATGGGGGCATGGAGAATTGAAGGAGAGATTCTTGGAAGATTGGGAATTCAGTTTGGGCATTTGCATATGAGATTGATTGATATGTTGAGTAGGGAGAAGGAGACAGAAGCTTGAGAGAGATGTAAGAAATATGATTTTTTTTGGTAATGTAACAAAGAATACTATGAGACTGGATGAGCTGATCAAGAAAGTGGGTATAGGCAGAGAAGAGGACCAAGAACTCCAAAATGAAATGTTGGAAAGAAGACAATATTTGACAGCAAAATCACTGACATAGTAAGAAAATCAAGAGACTGTTGTTTCCTAGAAAGCAAATGCAGTACCAGTCTCAAGAAGGAGGTGATAGATTGTGTGACTATTGATGAGCGTTGTGATAAGATTAAAATATGATCAAACAAGTGTGACAAGGACTGAGAATTGACCATTGGGCTTAACCAGGAGGCAGTCTTTGATTTCCTTTAAAGGAACAGATGTTTCATGGAGTGGTGGAAGTAAAAACCTGTTTGGAGTCAGTTTAATTGAGAATAGAATTGGAACAGCAAGTATAGCTAGCTTCCTGGAAGATTTGCTTCAAATGGGAGCCAGTAAATAGGACAGACATTGAAAGTAAAGACCAAAAAGCCGGCGCCGTGGCTCAATAGGCTAATCCTCCAC